CCACCTCCTTCTGGCTGTATGATTTCTGATGAGAAATTCTCTGTCATTTGACTTGTGTTCTATAGGTAAGGTTGAACTCTCCCTTGCTGAGCTCAAGACTTCTGCTGTCTAGTTTTCAGAAGTGGACTATGTTGTGTCTTGGCAAGGATTTCTTTGAGTTTACCCCCTTTGTGTTTCACTTAGTCTCTCAAATCTATAGGATTTAGTCTTTTACCAATTTCAATGACTTTTCAGCTAAAATTTCTTTCTATATTTTTCAGTTCCTTACTTTTGCTCCTCATATTTTGGACTCTGACAACATGAATAGTATATATTTATATTTTTGTTTCAGTCTCAGAGTTCACTGAATATTCTTTCCTTTTTTCAATCTTTCTTATACCTTTTATTCTAACTGGTTAATTTTCACAATTACTTTATCTGCTTCTTCTTTCTTCTGTTCTCTTCTTTCTGCTGTTGAGCCATTTATTCAGTTTTTTATTTCCATTATAATACTCATCAGTTATAACATTTTTGTTTGATTATTTTTATGTCTTTTATTTCTTTCTTAGACTTTCTGTTTCTTTTCTGAGACTTTCTACATGTTCGTTTGTTCTAAGCATGGTGATAACTGCTTATTGGAACAATTTTGTTGTGACTCCTTGAAAATATTTGTCAAATGATTCAAAAATCTATGTCATGTCACTGTTGGCATCTATTGATTTTTTTCCACTCATTTTAAGATTTCAGTGGTTCTTGATATGATGATTGATCTTCTATTGTAATTAGACTTTTTGTTATTTAGTTATGAGTTATGTTTTAATTATATTGAGTGTAGCATGACCATGTTACTGTGGGAAACAGGTGTGCAAGTGTAGGTGGTGATTTATTTAGGTTCAGTTAATGATGCTCTCAATTGTGTTCAGAGGACTCACGAATAATTGACTCATTTATGCCCAACGTTCCATTATTGGAATGCTAAGCATGTGGGAGTTATTTATATTTTACTGCTCAAGGTCATCACCAAGGTCTGATTGCAAACATTCAAAAAATTGCAGTCTCAGGCATAAATGGGTTAAAAGCCTTTAAGCACTAAGCAGAGTGAGGAAGATAAATTCCAGATTTTATCCTGAAAATGATACCGATCAGTTAGTAGTATGTCCAAATTCTCAGTACTTCCTGATTTATCCTCTCTCTCAGCCAATGACTTTGCTTTGTATCCCACTTAAAACACAGAAATGAGCAAAGCTACAAACCACCAAATCTACCCACCTTACTTGAGTTGTGCCCATAATACTGTGCCTCACCTCCTGCCACATCAGATCAATTGTCAAGGTTTCCACTTTTGCACCAGATCTCACCCTTCTCAAGAATAAGTTTCTACAATTGTCCTCAGATTTGATACCATCTCCATCTCATGCCAGCAATTCTACAAATATATGCTAATTTCATAAAACTTAGGAAAACATACTTGATTTCCTATTATCTGTTCTTCTGCTCCCTTTAAGAAGGAAAAGTAGGATTTCTTCTCCAAAGAGAAGCTGCCTATCATAACTAATGACTGCACATGGAATTTCTCATGAAGCCATGAGAAATTTGTTTCCACTTCTCCACAAAAGGACTCTTGTAAAAGACTAAAATGGCCTCTGTGTTGCTAAATTCAATGGTCAACATCCAGCTGTCATTTTAAAAGATTCCCAGTTTTCTCTCACTTTCTTAGAGGCAATTATAGCTATTTCTTCTTTGCTGGATCTTCCCCTCATCTTTCATCTTTATACTGTGGAATCTCAGTGACGAGTGCCCAGTCAATTTCTCTGCCTACCTTGCACACCTTGATCTTCTCATCCAGATCACAATGCTTTACCTACTATCTATAAGCTGACAGAAGCTGAACTTCTATTCTGAACTCTAATTTTTCCCTTAAATCTATACTAATATATGCAGCTTTCCCCGTATCACCTGTATGTCTAATATGGTTTCAAATGTAACATACCCAAAACCAAAATCTTGATCTTTACTCTGAAACCCGATTTTCCCACAATTCCTCCATTTGTGGAGCAACACTTTTTTCCCCCCAGTTATTGAAATCTACTTTCAAATCTAACCCCTTTCCATATAGAAAACTTTGTAACTTCTCCTTTCAATCCATTTCCCATAAAGTTCATTCTCAACCGTCTAGCCAAAATCATCTTTTTCTGACTTAAGTCACTGCTTGTCACTCCTCTGCTCAAAAGTTTACCATGGTTTCCCATGTCATTCATAGTGAAATTCACAGGCTCATGCAGTATGTCATGTGTTTCCTTTGACCTCACTGTCTGCTAATTACTTCTTAATTCATTCCATTCCAGACACAATAGCCCTTGCTTTTCTTCAAACTCTCCTGGAATGTCCCTACCTCTGGGCCTTTAAAATTCTAAGTGTTGCGTCTGGAATATTTTCCCACAAACATGGAAATGGTTCACACCTTCATCTGTTTCAGTTCCGTGCACAAGACAACGTGGATTTTCCTGTCCCACGGCCCCTTGCGTATTCTTTGTGGTCTTCTCTGCTTTCTTTCTCAACTGTACCTGTCATATTCTGACATGTTATCCTTCACGTATTTATGCCCTTAGTCACATTTTGTCTCCTGTCACTGGAATGTAAGTCCCATCAGTACTCTTTTGTTCATTTGTTTGTTTTTGTCTGTTTTATCACTGCTATCTTTTAAGAACAATAAAAAAGAGTAGATGCATAGGAAGCACTTGGTATCTTATTGAATGGATGACTGTTTACATTTTTGAAGCTAGCTTATACTTGGTGAGATTTGAGGGATCGTGACAATCATAAGACTTCTTTTACGAGGGAAACCTGTAAGTCTGTAACTTGGCGGAAGCTATCAGAGGGTGAATAGATAGATGTTTATCCTCAGTGGATGTCTGAAGAATGCAGGTCTAGTTCTCACCACAGTGTGAGTTTACCTACGTAGAAGGAATCACTGATAACCTAGGAGTGGGAATGGTTGCCAAGGCTGATCACTGAGGCAGAGAAAAGATGTGTGGACATCGGAATCAAGAGCCAAACTTGGATTCATTTTGGTCTCCTGCTTTCTCTTCCAGTCACCCTCTATTATTTCCTGTCTCCCACTTCTTCACAAAGGGTATAAAAAGGTTAAAGTGTCAGTTTATATCAAATTATTGACAAATAATTGACATTGTAGGAATAATTGAAAACTTTTACTTTTGTAAAGACGCCTGGATACTTACATATTTAAGGGTTGTTATTTTGGAGATCCAAAATATAATCTCTATTTTAATAAAGATGAGATACAGTGACCTTTGAGAAAAAGTTATTTGCCATACTATTTTTACCCATCAACAATATTCTCCTCCTTATCAATAGTGAATTGCTTATTTTTGCTGTTGTTGTTTTATTTTTTAATAACATGGAAGAACATTTTACATTTTCCCAACATTTCCAAACCTTTCGCATCAGGTGGACTTAATTTGAGATGATATAGAAAGTATTCAAAATTTGTTTGGGAAATAACTTGACTACACCAAGAATGATGGGGTGAATGGAGGATTTTCAGGATGCGTTAAGGCAAAGAGAAACTTGCTCATATGACATATAACATATGACTAGTGCCAATGGAGTGGTTTATTATAAATAAAGCTTCAAAAATAATTACAATGGAGTTACTAAAAACTTTTTTGCTGTAAACAGCTAAGGGAAGTAGAATGGTTAAACGAATAACCTTTTCTGTAGAATAAGTTGCTGTTTCACATAGGGAGCTATCGAATAGTTTGAAGGGAGCTACTGGGAAAGTATAGCATTCCCTCTATGTAATAGATGTCCCTAACTATACATCCTGGTGTGTTGCACTCCTATTGCAAGACCTGAGAAAATACCACGTGGGTGAATTATTTTATTTAAATAGCTACATGGTACATTACAGATATTATGATGTGTCAGAATGTATTGAATATTTTGTGATGTTTTCAACTACCACATAAAAGTTGTAAGCACAGTCAGTCATGCACATATTAAGTATAATTCTATACTCTTTATTACATATATTTAGTAAAATATATAATAAAATAGCAATGAGTTTGTAAGAATTTCATATGCTTTATTACCCTCTAGTTATCCTCCTTGCGATGTTTATCATACTGATTTCATTAAGCACATAAATGTATTAATCTTTCAATCAACTTGAATTAAACCATGATTATGTGATTGTTGATGGTCTTTAATAAAAATACCAGCAACATCATCTTTGTAAATCCATTCTGAGCATTGCTTTATGATATTAGAGCTAGTATTTTGACATAATGATAATTTGAAATAACTTTTTTCTGTTTTCGCTGTAATATATATAATTTGGTTGCCACTCGTAAATGGGTTAAAATTTCCATTGGTATTTAAATGGGGAACATATTTTAAAAAATCCAAAATGAATTAGTGAGCTCTAGTTGATTTTTTTAGTAAATATGCCACATACACCATTAAACAGCCAGCCACAATTCAAATTAATGATTAAATTATTTTTTGAAATTGAACCATTTGGCTCCTCTGATTAGAAGAGTTCATATCCCCTTGCTTCTAGCATTTCTTATTCAGTGTCTTAAGGCAAATATTAACTCATTCTAGATAATAATCAAAAATAGTTTTAAATTGTTCTAATCCACATTTATCATCTGATGTGTGCATAGAGATAAAAATACTTTTAAATGTATGTCCAAGTTTATCTTTAATTACACATTATCAAGAGTAATATTTTGACAAAACGTATCTATCAATGTTAAAACAACATTCCTAGATGTAAGAGTGATCAGTCCCCCTACCTCTTATCCACCATGTATTGAAGTAATTTTCAAAATATATGACGTTTACATGTTGTCTAAAAATGTCTACATTTGAAATTAGTTTGAATATGTTAGATATCATAGATTTTAGATAAGTGTATTGAATTTGAAAAAAAATCTAGCTATCATCCATTTTTAAAGACATTAATTTTTATTTTATCTGACCTGTTTCTCTTTCAGGAGTTGGAATTTTCAAATTTATTTGCTGTTCTTCACTGCATTCATTCCTTCTTTGCTGCCAAGGTAGCTTGTTTGGACCCTCTATTTTTAGGCAATCAGGCTTCTGCTTCTGCTGCCACCAGCTCTGCTACCACGAGCAAAGCAAAGTACACAACTTGACGTACTCAGCCCTGCATTGATACTCACCATAACTCTACAAACAGAACACATTTATTCATCACTTTAGACCCTGGAAAATCCATAATATGTCAACAGTGGAGGAAATATTGAAATTTCAGCAGAAACAAAGAAGGTCATGTGGAATCTCAAAAACACTTCTTTTCTGGATGGCATCTGTAAAATATACTACATGAACAAAACAGCTTGTTCTCACTCAGTTCCTTTGTACCAGTAAGTATATTGCTTTCACCAAAAGTGTAGACAAAAGAATGAATTATTTGAAGAAGTATGTAAATAATATAAAAATAGTAAGCTACCTATAAATAAAAATACTTATTAAATGGTTACTTCTGTATTTTAGATTATTTTGTATAATGAGTACATGTTGGGCAGTCATAAACTAATGCCCTATCATTGTATTATGAGGGACATCAAAGAGTTAAAAATTATAAATCAACAAGGAGCATGCAAAAAAACTCATCAAAGAAGGATGCACTTTCATTTGCTGATGGAAATTTGCCCTTATGCTCTCATGCCGTGATTGACACTGGCACTCCGATTGTTTTTATCTTATTGTAAATATTCCAAAGAACTTCAAAAAGGTAATCACATTGACCTATGATAGATAACAATGTGAGATGGACTATTCTCCCTTGCACCACTGTTACTGAAATGGTTAATTAGCTGCCAATGTCAATCTACTATGCCAAAAATGTATTAATCTAATCCTGTATTAATCTAATTCTAAATGAAAAATCTAATCTAATTTTTCAGCAGAAAGATTTCATGAACCTCTCATTTCTTCCTTCATTTTAAAGAGACTTATTTTTTACCTAATAGGATTTATTATCAAAGTTTCATAACTTTTCAGTGACCCCCCCGCAACCTTTTGTAGAGAAAATAATATAAAAAATACTGTGTGAGAAACAATTGTTTGTAATCTGAAATCTGCTAGTAAATCATGAACTGAAATGTCCCGAGAAAGCAGTCCCAAAGCTATTATATATGTTAGATAAATGACATTTTTCCATTTTAGTACTATTTTATGTGGAACAAAGGTGATATTTAAAGATAAACATGAAAAATCTTCATCCTCCCTTGTCATGGAAGTGATTAAGCAATGCCAAACTATGCAGGTTATTTTAGATGTTTTGTCCTAAGAATGTAAGTGTGAAAAGGCTGGGAAATCTGAAGGCCTTAGAGTTGTGCACTGTACTCAGATTCCAGGTATTATACAGCTGCTTGTGTAACACAAAACACATTCTCTGTCCTTTTTTGAGATCTTCTTTTAAAAAGTCGGCTGTGTATGTAAAAAACAAACAACGAACATTTTTATTGATACACATGCTCCCAGGTAAACCAGACATTACATGTGTCCTTGTGGAGATCATCAAGTAACTAATAAAGTGATTCAATATATTTTTTTAAATGTTAAAAAAAATCACTCCAGGCAAAACACCTTGGCTCACTCCTGTAATCCCAGCACTTTGGGAGTTCGAGGCAGGCATATCACAAGGTCAGGAATTCCAGACCAGCATGGCCAATATGGCGAAACCCCATCTCTACTAAAAAGACAAAAATTAGCCAGGCGTAGTGGCGTGTGACTGTAGTCCCAGCTACTCAGGAAGCTGAGGCAGGATAATCACTTGAACCCAGGAGATGGAGGTTGCAGTGAGCAGAGAACATGTCACTGCACTCCAGCCTGGGTGACAGAGTGAGACTCCGTTTCAAAAAATAAAAAAATACTCAAGAAGGAAACATTTTTTTCTATAATGGACAGATCCATTAAGTTAAAAAATTTAATATCAAGTTTTTTTCATACTCATTATGATTTATTAATTCATTTTGCATCAAATTAGTTTGTAAATACCTCAAATTGAAAAGAAAATGTAGAAGTTTATAATTGTTCCTTGGAAAATGTTAAGCTGAATTTAACATACCTTATCCAAAGAACAGTGGCAAATTACAATAAACAGTTTCAATGTAATGTATTTTGACCATAAAACGAATTACACATTTGTAATCAGGATGGAACTTTGGAATTATTGCATACTATACTGATCAAACAGAAAATCATTGTAAAATTGAAGCCCATCAAAAGCAGGCTTCAGCAGTAGGCTACTTTTGAACTTATGGAGAAAAAGCAGTGGGATACATCCGACTTAGAATTTTCAGCTGTGGTATGTGGTTCACTATAGAATTTCAATTCCAACGTTGAATCTCAATGTGCCCCATATTGGGGTTACATGAATGTGTCCACAATGTGATAATATGATCTGAAGACAATATGATGTGGTCTAATCATCCATAAGCAAAAGAAAAAAGTTTCAAGAGTTTACCTACCTGTAATAGAATGATTTTTAAAAATGTGAAATTTTATAATTGTTCCACTTTAAAACTTTAAAAACCTATTAACTATCTTTTTGTGACATCATGAAAATGTAGCCTGTGCTCATGTGTATGAAGGAAGAGGTGCACAATGAGATATGTATAAATACATATCTCCTCGGTGAATACACACACACCCACATATGTATATGCATATATATGTGTGTGTACATATATATAAATATAATGAAATGCTGACCATGAAATATATTAAAAGAACATGTTTTGTGTACATACATTTAATATACTTTAAATTACATTGTAAAATGTAGCTTAAAAACCTATGACAATACCATTATGATTATTTTTGATACTATTGATAAAGAAAAGCTGAGATTTTTATTTAACGTAATTAGTACAATAGCCAAAAACTAACAAAATACTATTCTCATTTTCATCAGTTTAACAATTAATGTTTCATGTTTTCTTTACAATGTGATGATTAGTCACCGTCATTTGTTATAACTTGGATTACTTGAATGAAAAAGCTTAGAAATGAACAAAAACACTTATAAAATTCCTATCTCTCATGTAATTTAGGTTTACATACATGAGATTTATTCATTGAATATTGAGTGTTTGTACACTGAGCACATTTTAACAGCAAAATGCTAATGTGTTAACCCCTCCAGTGCCTTGGTATGTGTGAGTGTGTCTGTGTGTTTGGGTGTGTCGTGTGTGTGTGTGTGTGTGTGTGTGTGTAGTCATTAAAGAGTTCATTACAGTGTATGTAACACAAGCGTAATGGGGAATATTGTAGGTATTTAGGTCAGAGAATGAAGTTCAAAGTCGTTTGAAAACTGCTAACTACTATAAAATGTCTTTTGTCTGATCAAGTATAACGATTCATCTAAGCAGAAGTATATTAGAGCAAGGACATTTATAATTTGTTATATTACAACCAGTATTTATCTAAAAAAATCTAATAGTGTAAGTGTAGTGTATACCCCAACATTTTTAAAATGGGAGGATAATCAGGTAATTATTTCTTGCCCATATTTCAGGCATGTACCAACTTATACTTTGGAAACCTTCTCTCATAAAGCTGTGATTCAGCAAGAAAAGAAAGCAACTATTTGAAAATAGATTTTAAGTCCACATTAGCCATGCAAGCAGAGAAATTTTCCTTTGGGTGTGTTAGATAGTCGATCAACATTTTCCTCATTTATGAGGCTGAAGCTTGGTTATAATCTTTGTCTATGTTGAATGCTAAATTTAAGAAAAGCTTGATTTACTACCGACAAAAATTAATAATCCTAACAATAATTTAGAATTACTGCTAGAAATCAGCAGTGTGGAGAAGCTTTAATAGCACAAGAATGATCTTGTGCTTAACTTTTTAAGGTAAGTGTAAATGTTCTGATATTAATAACAAACATTTTGCTACTATTGATACTGCTGTGCTCATTTCTCCTTAAGAAATTGCTTTATTCATATCTCTAAAATTGTTCTTTATTGTTTATTCTTACTACTGAATACTTTAAAACCATAATGCCACTTATTTGCACATTTGAATTTGCTTTTGAAAATAAAATATTATAAATGTTATATATTTTATACATATTAAAATGCAATGAAAATATCAGAAATATAAAATGTAAATATATTTATTTCATTTTTAATTGTTTTGGTGGATGTTTGTAAAATGTAAATTAATATTTGTGACAAAAATTTGTCACTTCATTCTTTCAGTTCATTAATGTACTACTAATGAAACCGTACTTTTTTAATGAAGCATACTGGAAAATAAAAACAAATACTTTTTACTAGATTTGGGTTTTTATTTCTTTGGGTTTGATTTGTAAGTTTTACATATGTTTAAAACATGATCCCGAGAGACTTGACTTCAATGAAAGATTTAAGATATGAACCGTCTGTATGTAAGTGCAGACTATGTGGTACATAATCCGTTCTTGTTGGCTAACATTTATGAAAAATTATTGACTCCTAAATATTCCCATCTTTGAAGAAAGATGCTATTAGTCAAAGTATTTACCCAACTGAGTTACAACTTCTGAAAGATATGGCATTTGATGTCACTGGAGTTTATCAATTCTAGTGACCTTTCTGTAGATTATTTAGTTAAGATTTTTCTCTATTGACATTCATGCCATCTACAAGAGATCCTGTCTATTTCTTCCTTTTTATTAAGTTTTAATTTTGGCTTCCTATCATATTACGCTGGTTGAAACCTTCAATTTAACACTAAATTGTTGTTTAGCACTAATTGTAAATTTCCAAAAGGCTAATAAGAAACAACAGGGACAGACCTGAAAAAAAGGAAACACTTTTTGAGTGAGACACAGCTGTTGTGTTAGGCTAACTGTATATAAATTAATAAGAAACTGTCCAGGAAACATAGCAAAACTATTCTCAGTAAAGAAAACCATTCCACCAATAACATGTAGATTATTTAACAGTGTTTAGGAGCATAATTGATACTGATGGAACTGCTAACTTGATCCAGACTTTTATAAAGATGCCTCCGTTAGTTCATTATAATGTGCCACAGAATAGTGCTTTCTCTTTAAGTACATCTTGTTTGCAAGGTGTGACTTGCTACCAAATAGATTGCATGGGAAGATGTGTTATCATAGCAGAAAATAATCTCCAATGGTTCATACCATGATAGAGAATAATGAAAACATTGCTGAAAGATGAGAATTCTTTTTCACTATTTGTACCATATTTCTTTTTTTTTCAGATTTGCGTTGATTCTTTATATTAGTATAATCAAATTAATCTCTTGAGATTTCAAGTTCATTCAAAAAATTCACATCCTGGAAATAAGAACACAGATACAATAGATGTTTTAATTAGCAAAAATAAATACTCATTTCCGTTATTAAGATTTTAATATATAAGTAGTTATTTAAAAAGTTACAAATTAATTAATATTTGAGGAATCCTCTCTTTATTCTATACTTTAATGGTTGATTTCTCACGTGGCTTTGTAATGGATCGACCTGTCTTGCTGAACTACATTGTTCAGAAATTCCTTTCTTGTAGACTTCCACTGAGGGTAGCCACAAGAGATATTTTGCACGGTATTTGAACAGCAATTGCCAAGCAACATACTGCTTTTATGCTTGGTGTGTAGGTACAGGGACACGAGGCACTGCTGTGAGTCACCCAGGTTGCTGCTCAGCTACTGGTTCGTCTCACTGGTAAAGAGCAACAGCCAGGCCAGTTCTTGAATTAGCCTTCTTTCAGTGTCTACCACACCTCGGCAGGTGCATGTTTAAGCCCTGTCTTCTGAAGGACGATCATAGCTTTAAATTGGAAAGTGAGACATGATGTAGTTTTCAGTCCATCTGTTTGCTCTGCAGCTCCTTTGTTCATGATTACGTGTTCTAGTTTAGTTTCCTTGTGCTCTCCCCGCTTGACATCCAACTTCTCTTCCCCATTGCCTGCACTGCATCAGGTGAAAAGACAATAGACGTGCAGACACTGTTTGACCAGCTCTCAAAGCTAGAGGTCAAGTCCCTGAAATAAATTTATATATTCATATGCATAGACACATACTAGGTATAGTTTTTATATTTTTGGAATGAATGACCAGCAGTCATTCATTCATCATTCATTCCAGGTAATAAAAGCCCCAAAGAATCACTGAGACAACAGCTGCTAGGTTTGCTTTTCACACTTCGGTAGATTTATTGGTAAGGAGGTAAGATGCCCAAATGTATTTTTACAGTTCATTTTTCATGGTATAGCAGGCAGTGTAAGCTTCAATATTCTCCTTTGTCTCCCAAGACCCATGGGAGCAAAGCAAGCTTGGACTCAGGTAGGCATAGGTCACTCAGTGGGTCTGTGTCTGGCTGAGGAGCTTAAAAATCCCCCACCTGTATAACAGAACCGCTCTGAAGCCTACTCATTTGTCTTCTCTGGAGAGACAGACATCTTTCTTACTGTGGAATGTAAGCAGATCATCACTGGGAAGGGGAGGAAATGGTTATTACTACTATACAGTATCTCTGGAAAGGGAGAAATTTTCTAGCTCCACGACCTTGGAGATAAGATAAATAAATCTATCTGTAGCTTCAAAGAATGCTTGCTGTGTGAGGATGCTCGCACATGAGTTTGCAGAAATATTCAAAAAGATAATTCATGCTGCAGAAATGTTATTGAGATGTGGTTCTCAACGACCGATAGACAAACGTCCAAATGCTCTGTTATATCATGTGTTTAACTTTATAAGATACTGCTAAATATTGTCCAGAGAGCTGTTACATTTTGCATTCCCACTAGCAATGCCTGAGGTATCCCCGTTGCTCTTCACCCTACTTATCTCTCAGTATTATTGGTATTTGCTTCAATCATTCTTTTAAGTAAGTAGCATTTTTTTCCATCATGATATTAATTTACACGTTCTGAATGGATAATGATGTTGAATACATTTACAAGTGCTCACTGGCCATGAATATATCTTCTTTCCAAAAGTGGCTGTTCAATTTTTTCAGCCATTTTCTAATTAATTTTTAATATCTGTTGCATTTTGAGACTTACATATTCTTGACTTTGTTAGATGTGCGATTTCTGTAAATTTTCTTTCAGTATAAAGCTTGACATTATTATCTTAACAGGGACTCACACTTACCTTATATTTTAAAATTTGTCAATGTCCAATTCACAGATGTTTTAAATGAATTTTACTTTGGTGTTTTATTTAAATGTATATAAATATATGTGTATCTATGTATTTTAAAGTTTTTTTACTTTGAAATATAGATTCTCAGGAAATTACAAAGATAGTACTGTATGTCTTAATTTCTTTTTATTCCTTATTAGAGTGACTACAACTTCCAAGATCATATTGAGTAGCACTGATGAGAAGATATATCCTTGTATTCTTTAGCATGGGTAAAAGCTTTCAGTCTTTAACCACCAAATATAATCTTAGCTGTAGGTTTATTGCAGATGAGGATGTTGAGAAACTTCACTTGCCTTTATCTTTTCCTAAGAGTCTATATTATATATTGATGTTGAAATTTTCAAATGCTTTTTCTGAATAGACTTGAGGCAGGCAGGTGGGAAAGGCTCCACGGCAAAACTTCCACCAGCCTGTGCACTGGGAGGAGTGTGCATGGGGTGGAACTGTGCACCACAGAGGGAGGGGTCTGTCTCCTCCTCCTCTTGGGTGGAAGCTGGAATTTAACCATGAGGCGGGAAGGCACCAGCATGGACTCTGGTTTTGAGGAGGGTCCCTATTTCCTGTTTTTTTCCTTTTTCAGCTAATAAAACCTGCCTTAATCACCCTTCAAATTGTCTGCATGTTGAAACTTTTATGGTCACCTGACAAAGATCTTTTCTTTAGCTAAACTAAGGAAAAGCCCTACAATTCTTTTTGCATTGAACGTGGGCCTCAAGAAGCAGGGAGTAAGGTGCAGCTCAAGAAGTCGTTTTTCTTCTCCTTTCAAAATATTTTCATCTTCAGACTTCTGAGGGCAGGGTGAACTGTATCCCCACCCTTGTTGTTTCTGAGTCTTGGGGGGTTTTTCCATGGCCTTTTCCTTCCTTTTTCAGGCAAGATGAGAGCAGCAGCTCCTTCCCTATCCCCCCTCATGCCCAGCTGGGACCCATGGCCCAAGGATCCTGCACAGCTGGCTAGCCAGTTCTCCGCCATGCACTGCCACAGCCTTTCCCTACCCTAGCCAGGGCATTCAGCTCCACTGGACAATAATTAGGGTTTTCTCCTGCTGGAAGGACAATTGCATAAGAATAAAATAAGAGATTCTTCCCCATACATTTTTAAACTGTTTTCTTTCATCTTCTCCACCCATCAGAAGTTAATTTTTAAGCAAGGTTTTTACTTTTGGAGGAGGTTTACTAGGTCAGGAATGAAAAGAATTACCGTTTATATTCTCTGTAAAGTTTTAATTGTGAAAAAGGATTTGTGAGGCTGGTCTTAAGCTCTAGCCAATCTGCTTTGCATGTCTGTGTGGTTCATAGCAAACTTACCTGCCAGCCTCCACCCTCTTTCATATCCTGGGAGCTTGGCTTGCAACTGCAGGGACAAGGCTTTGTTTAGCAATCCTGCCTTAGGGGATAAGTTCCTTTCTGCTTTGATATCTGCGTGTTTTCCCAGCATTACTGCCTCTTAAAGAACCCCACCGAGGAACTGGGTTTTCTCCTGCTTGTCTGTGTAGGTGTGTGTGTGTGTGCATGTGTTTGTGATGTCTGTAAAAAGATCTCTAATTAATTTGGCCTGAAGAAAGACAGGTGCTAGGATCAAATATTTGGGAAGATAAAAGCTGTGGTATCTTTCCTTTCACATGACTTTAATGGAGATATAAAAACAGCCTTAGAGATTATTGGTAAAATGCAGGTGTCATTAAAATGTAAATAGGTGAAGTCAGTTATGCTGGTCAGGTGTAAGGTTTGCTAAACGTTTCAAGCTTATAAACTGCATTTAGGACTTTGAGAACTATCTATCTCAGGTAGTTGGTAAGGCACAGGGACATGTGGAACAAACCATGCCCTTAAACAATGCTGGGAGACAAACCTTGGTGGGACTTGGCACACAGTCAAAGCAACTTACAGGTTTTTCATTAAAGTTAAAAATTTCTAGGGGTCATTATTATAACAAGTAATTGGAACTACCGAAAATATATATACATGTGAGGTATGTCAGAACAGTGAAATGTGCTTTATGAAAAAGGTTCTAGGAAGTCATGGAAATGTAAATTTTTTGCCTATGGTATAAGAATTGTCTTATTAGGTGTGAAAAAGCTGAAAGTTTAAATATGTGGTGGAAAGATTGTGGAAATTAACCTGGTGTAAGAGATTCTTTGTGTGAACCTATTGACTTAATTCAAAAAAATATATTTTTTAAATTAAGCATTAAAATAAAAGAACAACAAGATATTCTTAAGGCACTAATCTGGTCTTTAGCCAAATTTGTAAAGGGTGACAAAAGGCTTTTGCTTCTTCAAAATTTCTGAGTCATCATTTTGGCAAAATAAATAACTTGTGGTAATCCGGAATTCTATTTCATAATATCAAGTGATTTAAACTTTGAACATATTTCAAAACCTTCTCAAAATCAAACTTCAGTTTCAAAATTGTCTTTCCTGATGTCTAGCTTTTTGGATGGTTCAGAGGGTCCCTGAAACATCAAAAAAAAAATAAATAAATAAACAGTTATTTAACATGTTTAGGTATGTGGGATTGCAAAAATAATGTTCAATCTTTTTTAGGTTATATTTTGGCAAATGTTAACATATGTTTTCAAATTACATGGGATTTCTAAAATTCTAATGTCTGAGTATATGCTATCAATCATAATTAAAGTTTTTATATTAAGTTATTGTAAACCATGGCAATAAACAAACTTCTTTGTCAGTTGTGTTTCCAACTGTAGCTATCCTGGACATTTAGCTATTCACAATCATTGCCTTGTCTTCATCCTTCCCAAAAGATGGTTTATAATAAGCTATAAGACTCTGATAGGTGCTCTCAAATAGGTGTCAAAGTTTGTGATAACCTTGGAGGTTGTGACAGTGGAATAAAGACAAATTTAAAGATGCATGAAAATCAAAAATGCTCATGGATATCAAGCAAAACAAGAGTTAACTAAATGGATTGAACTCAGAAAGCTGAAGCAATATTTTAAACTTTTGCTCACAATATTGCTTATCCTTGTTGTGTTTTACAGAGTCAAGGAAACTTAT